GATAGAGAGAGGGTGAGCGTAGAGACCGTTTATGCCGTGTCGAGTAATTGATCTCTTCTTTAAATCCCGGAGGCAGTAGAAGCGGTCGTCGTCGATTGCGACAAAGCCAGCGTTGTGGCCAGCGTGCTTGACTGCTCGATTGGAACAGACGATGCGTGAGCCGCGGTTGTCGCAGGCAGCCAATCAGCGGACGGGAATCCGTGGACTTTGTCGGAGATCATTCAAGGCACACGTGAAAGACGGGAATATATATATTTAGGATATCAAAAAGAACGACAACGAGATGGACATGCGATGCGAGGTGGCTGTACTTCTGCCGTGACAAGAAACGGCGTTTCTTTATTTCACTGTGGTGATGATCCCTATGGTACAGACCCATGAATTCATTTGGCTCATGCCCACTAATATGCATTTTTATAATCCACGAGTCCTTGCAGGTACGCAGGACAAACGACCAAATAGCCTGAACCATCAAAAGGGAGCAGACACTATGGATACCAGCTCAAGAAAGATATCGCAATGCTACACAAAAGCAATCTCAAATAACAGCAAACTTGTAAGACGGGGAAGAACCAGGAAAGGTTGCCATTCAACATGGACTGTGGAGTAGAATATTCAACCAATAACATAAAAGCATCGACGCGTTTTCATCTGCATGGCTCATCAATTAAGCAAGTCCGAGACCATCCACCCCAACTCCTCAGCGAAAGTGGGAAAAGAGAAAAGTGTTCGATTGACGAAACCCAAATAAAGTCAACAGGAGGTGAAAGCCGCGCTGTGAAAAGTGCAACGCCGCCTTGAAAATCAGACCCGCTCGCCACCGGCTGAACGTCGTAGAGGAAAATAGGCCATCCGAGGAGAACAGACCGGGAAACCTCAAAGGGCTCTTGATTATGATGTCTGCGCAGGAGCGCCGCTGACATTAGAAGCTTCACGTCCACCGCGTAGATTTCCACGGCCACGCCCACCAGCATTCCTATGGCCATACAGACCTCGACCACGACCGTAACCTCGTCCTCTTCCACGCCCTCTAAACCCGCCACGATAACCTCCGTCTACACTTCCTTGTCCAAAGGTTTCCATATTCTTCTTTTCCTCTTCGCCACGGCGCCCACGACGAGCTCCTCCTTCCCGATCACGAGCCTCGCTAGAAAGGTTATCGAAAAAGGATGACGATTTATCGTATGCGATACCAGTCGCAAGATTCGTTGCGTTTGGTGCCATTGTTCCGTCGGCACCATTTGTCGCCGGAACTCCGTTAGCAATCTTATCCTCAGATTCTGCAAGCGGGGATCCTGATGCAATGGCTTCCTTGACAACATCTTGTTTGTTGAACTTGGCATTGGCGGACTCGAAATCGAAATCCGTGGTCGGAACTTCGACTTTCTTGGCATGGGCCTGATGATAACCGCCCCGACCACGCCCTCCGCGAGCATTCTGATGTCCCCCACGAGATGGGCGTTCACCTTCAAATGGTTTCATGTCGCCAACCTTCTTGGTTACTGACTCGACAGTCGCCTCGACTGATGGCTGTTTTGTCTGGCCAGATGGAGGTTGGGGTAACTTAGCCATCGCGGCAGCCACAGCAGCCGTCGCAGCTCTGGTAGCCTCTTGCATTACTGAAGGAGCACGGCCGTTTTGAATGGTCGGTTGCGGAGCAGTGCTCCCCGAGATGGGAGCATTATTGGGTACTGGAACGGGAGGTTTTGTTGCAGGAGTCGAAATAGGGATTGCCGGCATGATTCGTTCGGGTTTAGTGGGCGGGACTTGGGTAGGCTTGGCGTTTGCTGTACCATTCATCGCGGGCGCCGATGGAGCGGTGATCGGGCCGCCATTGGCGACTTTCTGCTGCAACTGGGCTTTCTTTGTATCGGGCCCTTCAGGGGCCCCGCTTGGTGGTGCGGCTGCACCGGTAGGCGCTGGGGCCGGCGTAGTTGGCTTGCTCGAGGGTTTGTTCGCTGGCTTTTCGCCGACTGGGAGTTCGGAGGTAGGTTTGGGAATACTCGGTGCTATTGGACCTGGCTGCGTGGGTGGACGCTGCTGTTGCCCTTGCTGAATCTGGGGAGGCCCAATTGGCATCGGAGGCGGAGGGAAATGTCCAGGTTGTTGCGGAAATCCTTGGCCGGGGGGAGGGTACCAGCCCTGAGGTCCGTTGTTGTATGGCATGCCAGGGAAACCGGGGCCAGGTGGAAAGCCAGGGGGTCCAAAGCGCTGACCATACGGATTATAATAACCAGGGAAAGGCGGTTGCTGGGGGAATCCGGGGGGTGTTTGACGAGGTGGCTGAGGAAATTGACTTGGCTGGCCGCGGCCCGCTCCTCCCTGGGGAGGGCCAGGACGTGAGGAGCTCTGATACAAAACGTATTGTCAGTTTGACGAACAGAAATCAAAGGATATGGTAAAGAGTGGCGGCCGCAAAATGTCAAATCAGAAGGAAGGCAACGGAAAATATCCACATCGTATTGCGCTTCAGAACAGGTCTGTGATTTACATCCGTAGTATTTCATCAGATGACAACATTGGCACCGACGACTCTGAGCAGAGCAGGGCAGAATTAGCAAAAATACTTACTCCTAGGATAGCGGGGTCATCTGGCATTTGTGGCGGTTCTGCCGGCGGGTTGTCCTTGGGCTCATCCGCAAAATTGATGTCCTTTACATCGCTGCCACGGAACACAATGTACTCGTAGACGCTCGCAGACGGGGCAATCTCATCAGCAGGATTTCCGCGTCGCCCTTCCGTGCCGTGTGAAATGACATTTTCGAGAGCGATGGTAGAGGCTTCTGGATTGATTTCGTGCAAAGTCCCGACATAACTAAGATGGGTGGTTAGGTATCTGAAGCGCTTCGCTTCGACGTTGAACAATGACCTACCGGATGTCGCTCTTGGAGATCAAGTTGAAAGGACGCCTGAAGCCCATATATCAGCCAAGATGTGGATAGGAATTGAGGTCTCTCCACATACCCAATGAACTGGTTCATATCCATGGTTGCAGTTAACGACTTTGCGCAGAGACGCGCAGCGGGATGGGGAGAAGCGAGTTTACGCAGTAACAATAAGCAGCAGTAAAGTAAGCGAAAAGGAAGAGAAGGGAAGAGCAGCTTCACAGGAGCGGGTGCTAGGGGATTGGAGAGATGTGAGGTGAGAGTGATGGCCAAAAGGTGCAGGAAGAAGAAGGTTGGGAAAGAAAGCCATTTTGTGCAGCTTAGCTAACTACGGCTGGCGAGACGTGCCCGCTTGGCAGGGATATTGCAACAAGAACACCAGAAGGATCAAACGCCGCCCTGCCCATCACAACACTGGCAATTATATTATTCCTCCTTCGCTGGGAGTGTCGGCAATCTCGACGGTACCATGCAGTCGACGAACCCCGACAATTTCTTCCACACAACGTGAGTTTAGTTGGACTACTCTACCATGCGTCTACCCCCCATTTGACTCTCCAAACTCCCAGAGCCTCCTTAGAGGACAGCCGTCGGAAGGCTGGAAAGTCCGGAAACAAAAATGGCAGTCCGATCAAACTCCCCAGCAAGATTCTAGCGATTGCCGCCGATCCGTTCAATACTGATTCGGTGTTTGTTGCGGAGAGCTCTGGTGTCTTGAGAGTCGTCGCGCTTGAAGTGGGTGAGCGAGAGATGCCCCGCGCCAGCTGTTCCCGCGAAGGAATCTAACAAAGAGGCACATTCCAGACAAGCGAAACGACCGCAATCTACAGAGGACCTACGGCACCGCTGACCAGCCTGTGCTTTTCCACTGATGGGAGGACGGTATTTGCTGGATGTTGGGATAAAAGCATCTGGAGCTGGGACGTGAAAACTCGCAAAGCGGGACGCAAATATGTTGGCCACAACGATTTTGTGAAAGCCGTTCTATGCCCGAATACTGCAGGCCGTAATCTCCTTGTTTCCGGTGGTGCAGATGCAGATGTACTTGTTTGGGATATCTCGGACGGCAAAATCCTCCATGTCTCCCAGAATCATTGCCGTGGGATTCAGAGTCTGGCTCAAGATCCCGTTGTGACGGACGATAGTACTTCCATCACCGTGTTCAGTGCGGGCAGTGACCGCACAATTTTGTGCTTTCGCATACCCATAAATGCAGGAAGCATGACGGTGGCAGAGTCCATCCTTGAGCACGAAACGAGCGTTTACAAGCTACTTTTCGATGAAGATGGCGACCTGTGGACTGCTTCCGCCGATAAGACTGCAAAGTGCCTGGCACGAGAAAATGGGTGGAAATCAGAGCTAAGTATGGAGCATCCCGACTTTGTACGGGACGTCGCTGTACACGAGGCCGGCGGGTGGGTGGTCACTGCATGTCGCGACGAGGAAGTACGTGTGTGGAATCGAGCAGTGAGTTCCATCCCCTCCACTTTGAACCCGGGGCCCATGCTGATGAATCAAGACTGGCGAACTCCATCATACCTACTCGGGCCATTTTGAAGAAGTCACTGGCCTGGTGTTGCTTGGAACAAAGGTGGTTAGCGTCAGTATTGATGCTACGATTCGACAGTGGTCTTTACGCCCAGAAGATATTCGCCAGGCAAAACTAGAGGCCAGCGGCGCTGCCGCGGAGGACGAAGAGCCACCGCGCGGACAGTCGATGTTAACCGCGGACGAAGAGCGGGAGTTGGATGAGTTACTAAATGACGATTGATGACGGTTAATGCTGTGAGATGAATCTGTGCAGACGTGGATTTCCTCAGATAATTCCCTGAGCACTTTTAGAAATCCAAAAGCTATCAACATCTCATCACCTTGTATACTCTATCATCCATAAGTAGAATCACGTGCAGCGATGATGTCAACCTCCCTGTGTCTGGCCTTTCCCCCGGATCAAAACATATACAAACACTCACTCTTTGCGCATTGCCGGCCACTGAAAGTAACAGAAACAAAATCTGCATAAGGTAATATACATCTTGATATCTAGCGTCTGGGTTCGTGCCCTTTGTTCACCATTTCTCTCTTCAAGCGAGCATCACACCTTATCCGCCGACAAGGCCCCACTGCATGGTGTAGACCGAGCAGCCACTTGTCTGGGGATCGGTTCCCAAGGGCTCAACCACTGCTCAGGCCGACTTCACAGTCCCATTACAATCGCATTACACCAGGGATGGCGAGTTTATCGCATCGACGATCCTCTGAAATGGCTGCTGAGCCACCTGCGTCATCCCAACTTGTCAATCGGCTATCGGAAAGCCGGTCGCCATACGTATGTCCCTCTTTCCCGCCAGATTGAAAAAAAGAGAAAGAAAAGGGTTGGAAACGTGTTAAATACCTTTCTTTAGGTTCGTGGACATATGAACAATCCTGTTGCATGGCAATTATGGGATTCAGCTGCGATTGACCTCGCAAAGAGGCTTAACCGGCTCATTTTCTTGAGCATCGGCTACTCCGCTTGCCATTGTGCGTAACTACTGCTCAGTATCCCGCGCAAATGTTGTTCGAAATGCCCCGCAGCTGACATCTGAGTAGGGTGCCATGTGATGGAGAAGGAATCGTTCATGTCGCAGGAGGTTGCTGCGATTCTGAACAAATCCTTTATCCCAATCAAGCTCGATCGGGAGGAACGGCCGGATATCGACGAAGTCTACATGAACTATGTTCAGGCCACCACCGGTTCGGGTGGGTGGCCGTTGAACGTCTTCCTCACTCCGGATCTTGAACCCGTCTTCGGCGGGACGTACTGGCCAGGGCCGCATAGCAGCTCAGTGCCGCGACTGGGCGGCGAAGAGCCGATCACGTTTGTCGACATTCTGGAGAAGCTGAGGGACGTGTGGAACAGCCAGCAGCTACGATGCATGGAGAGCGCCAAAGAGATTACCAGGCAGCTTCGAGAATTTGCGGAAGAGGGGACCCACCTCAGACGGCCTGACAGCGAGGGCGAAGAGGATCTGGAGGTAGAGCTCTTGGAAGAGGCGTATCAGCACTTTGTCTCTCGTTATGATCCGGTCAACGGTGGATTCTCCAGGGCGCCGAAATTCCCCACGCCGGCGAATCTGAGTTTCCTTCTCCGCCTGGGGCGCTACCCTGGTGCGGTGATGGATATCGTTGGCCAGGAGGAATGCGCGCGGGCGACGGAGATGGTCTCCAAAACCCTTTTGCAGATGGTTCGAGGAGGCATCCATGACCAAATCGGGCACGGATTTGCTCGATATAGTGTGACGGCGGACTGGAGCTTGCCGCACTTTGAGAAGATGCTCTACGACCAGGCACAGTTGCTGGATGTCTACGTCGACTGCTTTGAGGCCACGCAGGACCCCGAACTATTGGGAGCAGTGTATGATATTGTGGCGTACATGACTAGCCCACCGATGCTATCACCAGAGGGTGCTTTCCATTCATCAGAGGACGCAGATAGTCTTCCAACGCCGAAAGATACGGAAAAACGAGAGGGTGCATTCTACGTGTGGACGCTGAAGGAAATGCAGCAAATCCTGGGGCAACGAGACGCCGAGGTTTGCGCGCGCCATTGGGGGGTTCTCCCGGATGGCAACGTGGCGCGCGGGTATGACCCTCACGATGAATTTATCAACCAGAACGTGTTGAGCATCAAAGCGACGCCGAGGCACATTGCAAAGGATCTGGGGCTGAGTGAGGATGAAGTGGTGCGGATTATCAAGTCGTCGAGAAAGAAGCTGCAGGAGTTCCGAGACACGCAGCGGGTGCGGCCAGACCTGGATGACAAGGTGATTGTTTCCTGGAACGGGCTCGCCATCGGAGCTCTGGCCAAGTGCAGCGTCCTTTTGGACCGAATCGACCCGGACAAGGCGGAGCACTGTCGGCGTTCCGCTGCAACAGCAGCCGCATTTATCAAAGAGAAGCTGTTTGACGCCGACACGGGCCAGCTTTGGCGCGTGTACCGTGATGGCGTCAGAGGCGAGACTCCTGGATTCGGTGACGATTATGCGTATCTCACTGCCGGGCTGATTCAGCTGTACGAGGCTACGTTTGACGATAGCTACTTGCGGTTCGCTGAGCAGCTCCAGAGTAAGTAGCCGAATGCACTTTTTTCTTGGCCCCCTTTTTCTGGTGCTATGCCGATTGCTCACCTGTGACGCAGAGTACATGAACACACACTTCCTCGCGATGGCCGCGGACGGAAGCACGCCGGCCGGGTACTACATGACGCAAGAGAACATGCCGGGGGATGTGCCGGGCCCCCTCTTCCGGCTCAAGACGGGCACCGACGCGGCGACCCCGTCGACGAACGGGGTGATTGCGCAGAACCTGGTGCGGCTCGGGTCGCTGCTGGAAGACGAGTCGTACAGTGTGCTAGCCAAGCAAACGTGCAGCGCGTTCGCGGCAGAGATCCTGCAGCATCCATTCCTGTTTGTGGGTGTCTTGGACGTGGTTGTCGGGCTGGAGGTGGGCGTCAAGAGCGTGATTGGCGTGATTGGACGCGACGAGGAGACGGCGAGGGCGGCGGTGGTTGAGGCGATGCGCGAGGAAGCGGGCATGGCGATGTCGACGAGTGCGGCGGTTCTGGCGCTGGTGGACGTGCGGGCGGGCGGTGCGGGAGAGTCGTCGTGGCTGCGGGAGCGGAATGTGCTGCTGAAGGACGTCCGGGGCGGGAAGAACTTTTTGCTGGTGTGTGAGACGGGCGTGTGTCGAACGGTCGATCTCCCGACGGCATGAGGAAAAAAGTGCCAGTGTTGTTGATATTTGTACATAGGTACATGGTATTAGTTTAATATCAAACAATGAACTGTGATCGGTGTGTCGTGCAAAGATAACCATTCGCTGTCCGGATGGAGTTGTGCTCGGTTGTCGAAACACATGGGAACCACTGTCCAGCAACCAACTGGAGTTGCGTGACACGAGAAACGAAGCCGTTGAGCCAGTCGCTCATTTGATAGATCATACTCCGTAACTGTAGATAATAATACAACTGTCGAAAGAACACTGTACATGGATGATCCAGGGGAGAGCTCCGTTTCTTCGGAGACTTCTTGTCGACCCCTGTGCTGGACGGTACGGGAGATGAGCTCGTTCGATTGCGCTGTGGACTGGAGTTGTTTCGGAAGAATGATCCGCGATGATTTGATTCTCGTTCATTAACTCGAGCACAGCTCAACCAGCGGGGCGACCGCCCTCCCCGACGAATAGCCCGAGAGATCCATCGGATCCAATTTCGAGCTGCAAGTCGAGGCCTGGACGCGGCTGGCGAGCGGGTCTGCGATGAATCTCGATCTCCTTGCTTTCATGACTGTAAAACTGATAACTACTGCAGACAGTCAGTAATCTAGCTATTAGTTACTGTCTTCAAACTGCAACTACGGAGACAACTGATAACCGCCGAGATGCACGCTGTCGCTGCAATGCCGGCTGCCACGACGTGTTTCAACCCGTCCACCACGCCTGGCGCTGGCAGCTGGAAAAACCCTCCGAGTTTGTGGGCGGCGGTCCTGGTGTGTTTCAGGATGGGATTGAACCCAGGGATGCCCTGCCGCTAGCCTGCTAGTTCGGCTTGTTTCGTTGTTTCGGGAGGAAATGAATTCGCGCGCGATATACTATATTAAAGCCTCTTGCTGCCCTTCATCTCCGGGCTAACTTGTTGTACACACGCTTTCTCTCTCTCTCTCTTCGCCTGTTCTGCTGCTTGCGTGCACTTTTTCACTCCTTCAAAAGTGTCCCCAGGCTGCAAGTCGCTCCTTTTTCTATTACCTCTCTCAGACCTCTCTCCGGTGTGTTCTGCCTGGCCCAGAATCACCTTTTCACCAACCGGGTTGGCTTTTGTACCTTCATATTCCTGTGGAAGCGTTGATTGACCGCACAGTTGACCTGTGAACCACACATCCCCCTTGCAAAACCATGCGCTACTCATCCCTTGTTGCCGCTCTCTGCGTGGGCGGCGCCCTGGCCTCCCCCGTCGACAAGCGCGCCTATGTCACCGACCTGACCGTCGTCACCAAGACCGTCTATGTGACCGCCGGCGGAGCTGCCGCGCCCACTCCTCCGCCCGCCCAGAACAAGGTCCCGTGGTGGAAGTGGCCCGGCAAGGTCGTCTATCCCCCCGTCCCCAAGCCCCGCCCCTCTCCGCCGCCACCTCCGCCGCCGCCTGCGCCAACCCCTGCGCCTACTTCCGCCGCTCCTCCTCCTCCTCCTCCACCACCACCACCTCCTCCCCCTTCATCAACCCCCGAGCCGCCCAAGGGTGACGAGCCCGAGCAGCCGCCACCGCCGCCCCCCAACGACCCCCAGCCCAAGCCGCCCGCCGACGACGACTACCGCGGCGTGGTGCTCTACCATCACAACGTCCACCGTTCCAACCACTCCGCCCCAGCCCTGGAATGGTCGACTGATCTGGAAAGCAGCGCCCGGCAGCTCGCCGAGACCTGTGTCTATGGACACAACACGTAAGCAACAGAAAAAAGCCCCCTTCCTGCGATCTGTGCTAACCGCAGCGTGTAGTGAATACGGTGGCGGAGGGTACGGCCAAAACATCGGCTACCAGGGCGGATTCAGCAACATCGCCTCCATGATCACCAACGCCATGTACAACGGCGAGGCTCCCCTGTTCGAAAACGAGTACGGCCTGGCCAACCCGCGCAGCAACTTCCACGCCTGGGGCCATTTCACCCAGATTGTCTGGAAGAGCACCACCAAGGTTGCCTGCTACACGAAGCGCTGCCCCTCGCTGCGCGTTGCAAGCTCTGGCTCCACCGTGAACAATGCTGATTTCATCGTCTGCAACTATGGCCCGCCAGGTAAGCCGTTCCCTTCCTCATCCCGGGATTTTGTCTCTAACAGCAACGTGTCGCTAGGCAACTACGCCGGGAGATACGCTGAGAATGTCCAGAGGCCACTGGGTAAACCCACCGTCACGGCCTAGACAGTTGGGCCGTCTTCGCGGGGGCCTCTGTGTCGCTTGATGCCCCCTCCTCACTATTTTTCCCCTTCTTGAATGTATTTTGCAGGAATGGTCTCGTATAGAAACAAGGCTAGGTCCTCAAACCGTTGTCTTCATTCCAGTGTTTGCGCAAATATCTTTTTTGGGAGTTTGTTTTTCACGGTTCCCGAATTTCACTTGGACTTCGCCTTTTTTTTTCAATTCTTGCACGGTTCGTTCGGCTCTTTGGTAGACACCTCCCCTTCCACCGCCAGTCATACATCCAGGGGCGCACCAACAGCTTTTCTCTTTTATTCTCGACAGTGGTCGGTTTGGGAGGGGGGAAATTTGACGGAGAGCGTACCGTTCAGACCTGTGCCTCATTTGATTCTCTTCTCTTTGGTCGGGGATCACACGGTATCGTGCATGTCCCCTCCATCCTTTTTTTTTCGAGAGAACTTCTCTGAAAATATCTTGACCTTTGGTCGCACTTTTTCCACTTGAATCTTATTTCCACAAGTGATTTTTTTATTCTGCGAGAAGGGGTAAACATGGGCGACCAGGGAGAGGATATATGGGAGTGCAAAAGAAGAACCAAAAGTTATCAATCTCCTTTCGGCCCATGAACTCGCGTGTAAATCGTAGCCTGGCCAGTCTCCCGAATTAAGACGTAGTCCCAGTGTTGTATCGTGCTCCCTTCTACTCCATCCCCAGTAAACAGCAGTCTTTTCGGCCAAAGGGAGCACGGCTCTGCCCGTTTTCTTTTACCGACTGGACAGTCTTTCTCTGGTTCGGATTCGCCATCGGAAGTCGGCCGCTATCGATTCTAATTCTTATTAGTGGGTGAGCGCGAGATGCTTGTTCAAACTCCACACATCTCCTTTTTTTCCGTCCTGTGGGGAGAAACGTCATCTTGATAGATGAGCATGATAGAATCCCATCCAGCACACCATGAACCCTCCTGTTGCGCGCGGACAAATGGAGTGCTTAATAAGTGGCGGGAAAGCCCGCTGATGGCGTCGTCCCTCGTCTGAACCAACTTTTTGCTCCTGGAGGTGGCGAGCGATGGAGACGACTGCGATATATTCTCCAGACTCGAGCCGGCGGCTGTGGTCGACTTTCGATATTATCACCGATGATCTGATGGGCCCTCGAATGACACTCTCCATTGCCCCGACATGAATGATTAGCCGTGGTGCTAGTTACACGTCCAGTAACGATCTCAACGGGAATCGCTGCTAGTCTCGCATTGTAAGTAAGCAGACCGTCTGTTTCTTCTCTTTTGCCCTCCCTGTGCTTCCCTTTGTCCTTGCAGCGGGAAGAGAGGCAGGCTGCAGTTTCACATGCCCGGCATGGGGTCACCTGTCCATCTATCCTTATATAAGGATCGATATCTGCTGTGCGACTCCTCTCCCCTCCCGACATCCTCACGATCCCACAATATCCTGCGGGTGGCAGCCTCTTGATACCACTACTCCCCCCTTCCAGGTTTTTCTCAACGTCTCCTGCAAATGCCAGCTTACTGCCTGCACGATTGCCATTACTTCTACCGCAGCGCTCTGCGCCTCCTCTCCATACCCACCTTCATCGCTGCCCAGTACGCTTGAGAGCCATTCTGTCTTCTTGAGAGCCTTTTGCCCTATCTATCGGCTGTTACAAATGTCTCACTCGTCCCATCCAGCCCGTTTCTTCATCATGCCGAAACCACTCGGCACCATCGAAGAGCCCAGTCGGCACCCCCATGCTTCCGGCGGTGTTCCGGGCCCAAATAGTTCCCCCCTCAAGGAGAAGCATCCTTTCTCGCCGGACCATTCAGGAGTGACTTTTTCGCATCAGGCGGCCTTGCCGAAGCTGCCCATACCAGATCTGGAGTCTACGTGCAAGAAGTATCTGGATAGCCTGGCGCCGCTGCAGAGCCCAAGAGAGCACGAGGAGACGAAGGAGGCGGTACAGGAGTTCCTCAAGGCCGAAGGGCCGGAACTGCAGGATAGGTTGAAGTTTTACGCGTCATCCAAAACGAGCTATATCGAGGAATTTTGTATGTACCCCTGACTTTATATCATGGCATGGAATGGACTGCTGATCAATGAACCTCAGGGTACGACTCTTATCTAAACTATGATAATCGTGAGTGCAACTGTTCATCTCCCTTATTCCGACAGTCCTAACTGTAGGTTAGCTGTCGTTCTCAATTTGAACCCCTTTTTCCTTTTGGAAGATGACCCGACTCCTGCAAGGAACCATCAAGCGACGAGAGCAGCCTCCTTGGTCGTCTCCGCTCTGTCCTTTGTGCGCGCGGTAAGGAGAGAAGAAATGACTCCAGATACGATACGCGGAAAACCTCTGTGCATGTTTCAATATTCCAGACTGTTTGGTACGGCCAGAGTACCCACGGACAACGGGTGTGTTATTGGCCAAGATTCTTCGTCCAAGCACCTCGTCGTCATGTGCCGTGGACAATTCTATTGGTTTGACGTTCTCGATGCGAATGATGATCCGATAATGTCTGAAAAGGACATCACTCTGAACCTCTGCGCGATCATTGAAGATGCCGAGCAAACCCCAATCCAGGAGGCTGCCAAAGGAGCAATCGGCGTTTTGAGCACAGAAAGTAGAAAAATATGGTCTGGCCTGAGGGACATTTTGAACCGACAGTCGGGGCCCAATAACACTGACTGTCTGAATATTGTTGACTCTGCCCTTTTCGTCGTATGCCTAGACCACACGGAGCCCTCGAGCATCGGCGATGTCTGCGGCAATATGCTTTGCGGAACAAGCGAAGTGGTCAAGGGAGTCCAGATCGGCACCTGCATCAATCGATGGTACGACAAGCTCCAGATCATTGTTTGCCAGAATGGTAGCGCTGGGATCAATTTCGAACATACTGGTGTCGACGGGCACACGGTTCTTCGATTTGCGAGTGACGTTTTCACAGATACCATCCTCCGTTTTGCGAAAACGATCAACGGCCAGGCGCCGAGTATGTGGGCGTCGACTGGCCCGACCCCCGCTAAGCGTAAGCCGGATGCCTATCGAAATGCGAGCACGAGAATCCACCACAGCTGAAATGGGACTGGGATCCCGGAACTAAGCCATTGCCGTACGAATCCGCCGAGGTCCCATCTCGCCGACCTTGCTGCATCAGCATGAGTCTGAAGGCCCTGAGATTTCCGGCGCTTTATGAAAAGAAATTTCATCACGTCAATGAGTTTCTCTCCGGGATGCATTCGTGCAAAATGGCGTTTCCAGGCCGCCTTACTAGGGCTGTACAGCCGCATCGAAAATACGTATGAGCCAGCCATGACCAAAACCCTTTTTGCACAGTCGCACCGAGGCCATCCGCACTGTGTCTCTGGAGTCGGTCGAGTTTGTAAAGACATTTTAGGGCGACAATCCCGCGGCAGAAAAGATAAATGCGTTAAGAAAGGCCACTCAGAAACATACTGCAGTCACCAAAGAGTGCTCAATGGGTCAAGGCCACGACCGCCATCTGTACGCACTCTACTCGCTCTGGCAGCGTTCCTATGACGACAGGCAAAACGCTATGAGCAGCGGGCGCTCCAGCCCCAACAGCTGCCCTAACCCCAATGAAAGCAGTCCTAAACTCACTTCGCCAATTCGAACATCGGCCAGCCCCTCAGAAGACGGATACTCCTCTCTCAGCTCTCGAAACGGATACGGCCCAGCACCGACCATCCCTGCCATTTTCAACGATCCCGGCTGGGACAAGATCAACAGCACCATCCTGTCCACCTCGAACTGCGGGAACCCTTCCCTGCGCCATTTCGGCTTCGGGCCCACCTCCGGCGACGGCTTCGGCATCGGATACATCATCAAAGACGACTCGATCTCCATCTGCGCCTCGTCAAAGCATCGACAGACCAGCCGGTTCATGCAGACCCTGGAATCGTATCTGCTGGAAATCCGGAAACTATTGCGGGCCTTGTCACCCCCTAGCGATAGGCCGAGTGCTGTGCCCGCGCCGAATGTCGCACTGGAAAGGCTTGATGCGGGTGCGAGAACGCCCCGGAGGGGGAGATTGATCCGGACGGATTCGGTGGCGCGTGAGATCGATACGCCGTTGACGGAGAGTGGGTTTTTGGAGGATGATGGCATGGGTGGTTGTATGTCTCTTTTTTCCATCCCTCCTCAGCTTTTGCTGTTTCACAGTGTGGTTGCTAACAGCTTCTGTGCAGATGGGTTTTTTGATGCTGGGATGTTACTGCATGCGTTGCAGGAGCTCCAAGAGGGCCGCGAGAGGGGTCGAGACAAGCCGTCGAAGAGGAGGTTGGTAGGGAAGATGCTGAAATTAAATGAATATTAGCAATGATTTTGATCAGGGTTGTGATGGTTACTTTTGTTCGGCATTTTGGGAGCCCTTTATGATTTTTTGCCTGTTTTTATTAGCCTGCATTGTTGTTTCTTACCTGGTTATATCTAAGATGATGATGAAATGTAGCATATTGTACCAGTAGTTATGAGCAATATGTATTCAGTTCTTTTTGTTCTATCATCTGCCTCTTGACTCAATTCGCCATGCAGCTGATAGGGGTGCAATATATGTACTCGGTACTGCGCAAGAAATCATCTGATCCCCCTCCTGCCGACTCTTAAATTCCTTGTGATGATGGGTGCCTGTGCATAGGTAACCTGGGGATAATGAGGAAGGATAGGCAGAAAACGGGACTTGCCACATCCTCCTGAACGAAATGTTGTATCACACTTCCTCTACTTCAGTAAAGCACCTAAAGACGAGGAACAACATTTTGATGAGAGTAGAGCTAATTATTAGACATGGGTATATGCAACTGATAGAAAGATTCATCGCTAATTTCGCTTCCAATTGAACCGTATCCAAGCAGAACCAACACCAATAGTACCTAGCACTATTGTCATATGTCAATTTTCAAGTAAAGTTGACGGTGCGTACTTCCATTGTGCTGCAAGCTCCCCTCCAGCATCTGCCTGATAAGTGCAGTGGCGGTAGTCACTCCAGAGTGTTTCCACACCTTCATATTGGCATGTCCAGCATTTGTAGATGATATTCCGATATTTAACGTCATCAAGTTTCGGAAACATCCGCGCCTTGTAAAGCTTTTCGACTTCTTCAGTGTCGTCGATCTTGTCGTAGGGCCGACTCCCCGTGGATATTTCGTAGATCAAGCATCCCAGGGCAAACAGATCAGTCTTGAAATTCCGTGGCGACAGCGGCGCCATTCGGTACCGGTCTTCTTCCTCAACCAAGGGCTGCAAGTCGCCCATGGCCGATCCGGCAAAATCGCACAGTTTGATCGATAGGTCGTCGGCCACAAGAAAGTTACGTGGGCTAATGTCAGCATGGGTCACATCATGGGCATGTATCAAGGCGATGGCATCGATGGCATTTTCGACCCACTGATCCCGGATATGGCTGTCTATTATCTCGTTGTGCTGTATATATTCACGGAGATTTCCTAGCCGGTAAAATGGGAAATGGAGGCTCTTCTCTTTGGTTTCGAGACAGTCAAGAATGCGAGGATGCTTCGGCAGTGCTTTGTAAATGGATTTTTCGCGCTCGATGCATATTTCCGAGATAGACTCTATATGCCGGGTATGCTCGATAACCTGCTGGCTGCAACCCTTGACATCGTGCTTGAGAGCTGTTTTGACGACTTGTCCGTTGCTGTCCTCAAACACGGCCCCAGCTGATCCCAGGGCGATAAAATTGACGGCTCCTTCCGGCTGGATTAGAAGCGGGCTGCCATTCATGGTGAGAATAAAAGAGAACTTTGCTTCTCATGAATAGTAGCAAACTTCTTTCAAATTCTCTCCAAAGTCTCTGTATTAGAACTCACTGAATGAGAAGATGTTATCTCTACCATGTAGTTGGATAGTTAAGTTAGAACATTGTAAACATCTGGATCATGTGACGATTCATCACCTTTTGCGCCACAGGCGGACAACTTCAGCTTCATCGCAAGCCGCATTTCTCGACCTGCCGCTTCATTTGCCAGTGAGCAATCAATATCCCCGGACTCGGTTACTTGTCGCGTTTTTTTGGCAAGACCGCAACAATGAGCGCCGGGAAATGGTTCAAAATGCTTGGAGCGTAAGCTGCCGTCCCAAAGCCACCCCGTCTTCGCTGCTAACACCCCCGATTTCTATAGCGGAGCGATACTCTGCATCGGTGGCCCAATGTTTGTCAACTACGTTCGCCCAACAGAGGAGGAGCTTTTCCAGGTACTCCCTTACACCCCGCGCAACGGGGTCGAGCTCCATGCTAACCCGGAGGAACAATCCTCGCCCAGAGATTCAATCCCGACCTCCAAAAGCGGAATCTGGAAAACCGGGAAAGACGACAGAAGGAGTTTGACGACTTCGTTACACAGCTGAAGGAATACTCAAAGTCTGACAAGCCCAGTATGGCATCCCATTCCCCCCACCACTGGCCCGTTTCCCGCAAAGCCCCTTTCCTCTATTCCAAAACGAAGCGTTCCCTAGGCTCGTCGGTCATCGATTAACGGGATTTTCTTTCCTCTTTCTCTCTGCAGTCTGGGTCGTAGCCAAAGAGGCCGAGGAGCTTCAGAAGAAACAACAACGAGAAGCCGCTCTTGCCGCGAAGAAGGCCGCCGCTGAGAACCCCGTTGAGAGCACGACACAATCATAATATACGATGAGAAACCTTCTTCTGGAATTCTGCGGGTAACCCCAGCACCGTTAAACAACCTCCAAGATTTAGAATGGTTTCAAAATCCGCCATCTTGGCCTGTACAATATACTTCCTCTACGCTCTCGGCTTCGCTAGCAGGGGGCTCTTTCGAATCCGTGAAGCGGGACATTTGAACGGCGTACGGCGTGTTTATACCCTCACTAACAAGGGGGAGGAGTAAAATCTCAGAACCGACTATCGTCAAGAAAGGCTAATGATGGAAGTTGCTCTTGGATTAGGGATACAGGTAGGCATTTGATTTAATTTATAACCGCTGATGATCACGCATCACAAGGTATGGGGCTATTGTATATAATTTGAGATCCTTCAGCTCACTCTACACTCCATACACCGTGAAAAGACAAAAAGGCGAACAAAGAAATGATACATGTACAAGAAATGCCGGGATACCGGATGGACTGAGGTCAAAAACATCAAAGAATTACTTACAAACCGTGTATAAACTGAACGGACTTTCTCAGTAGAGTTCCCAATCCCAAATTTCCCCATAAATTACCTTGCAAAAGCATATAAAGCAACCGATTCGAGACCGGGCACACTCAAAGAAATAGTGAAAAGACAAAGCACGGAAAAAAAGTCATTATTCACAGCAAAGTATCGACCTCTAAGATACCATCCACCATGCTCCACCAAGGATACTAATCAGGACCACACTCGTCAAGAAACCAGCGCCGACTTTGTCTCCCGTCGTGATGTCGCTAAACGTATACACCGGGTCACCTCCGGTACCAGCGGTTGGGTCACCCTTACTGATACCAGTCGTGTTGTCGGCCGGTCCTGCAACCTCATCGATCAAATTGGATTGAATGATCTCCAACGCCGCCATTTGCTCTCCGACACCTGTAGAGCCGTCGTACGCAGCGCCCTTGGTCCAACGCAACCCACACGCATTGTCAGGTCCATTGCACTGCAGCGCCGCCGCTCTCGCCGAGGCTTGGAGCCTAGGCAGGAGTTTCTCGCGAGTAAAAGGGGCGATCTTCATTGTCAGCGCCATCCATCGGGCCAGGTAGGCTTTGAATGATCGCTGATCAACGTTGCATTTCCCATTCCCCTCACACGCCACTTCGGTCATAACATTCGGCGGATCTTTCGAGAAGAAAATGCTTGCCGCATCAATAAGTCCGTCAAGTCGCCTTTTCCAGATTTCAGCACCGTTTGTCTGTTGGGGACAGTTGAGTCAGCCATATAGGAGTCAACACATGAGAAACTATGTGAAAAGGAAGGGACGTACAAAGTTATACAGAGCGGCAGCTCCGCCCATCATAACCCCGTTGTTATAGGTCCACTGAATATGGGAGAGCTCGGTGCAGTTTTTGCCCACATCTGAGCCATCAAAAACTTGGGAAGTCGGACTGACTAATCCAATCGCTTCCATCCACTCCCAATACTGCTCTGCCAAATCGGCGTATGTTTCGTTTTTTGTGTAGAGAGCAAGACGAGCAGCGATATTGATAAAACACCCATTGGAAATAGAATTTTTATAGTTATAACCTTTGTTGAACGTGAAGATCTGCCATCTCAAGCCACCACCGCATGTTTGATTGTCCCAGCGAGGCACTTGAGAGTTCAAGACGGCCTGGGCCAGTTCAAGCCACTGAGGCTTGTCAGCTGGAGGATTGGGATATTTGTTTTCTGCAGCAGACATAGCGGCCATTCCCCAAAATGCTTGGTCATCGTTTCCAAGCGTTGAGGTCTGGTTTCGGGGCATATAATTGTTGTCATCTCCAACCTGATGGAGCATGGCTTGGGTCGTGATTTCGTTATATTGCGAGTCGCCCGTAAAGTACCAGTAATCGATCAGAGAGCTAAACATAGCACCAGCCTCCCACCAGTAATATGGATCGGGCAAATTGCCTGGCGTATCTCCCGGTTTGTATCCGGTGTAATATTTTACCATTCCGGCGGCTACGGTCTTAGCAGCATTTTTGATCGATTCTGTCCGCGGGCCAAGTTAGAATCTTCATCCTGGATAATATAAAAATTTTCCATAACTCACGTGGACTATTCAGGTCCAAGTTAAGAGATGCATTGACCGTCTGGACTCCCAACAGTATCGTCACAAGCAGCCGTGAACATGCTGAACTTGGCCGGTTTGAAGAGAGTGAAGGGAATATCATCGTCACTGCTTATGTGAAGCTGTACGCGCCTAAACCACGAACAATTATCCGTCGGCTTCGAGTAATATATCTGGTCGTCTGCTTAATCAACCATGTGGCTATTGGCGTCTCTCCTGAGGAGAAGATAACTGTCACCAAATCTAAAATTGAAACTTCCGGAACGATGCGGATGGAAAAACGATCGAAAGGTTATGGTCCTGTGTCCGAAGTAAAGAAGCACGCAGTGCCTAGTAAACTCGTCGTAATGGGTCCCAACTTGTCGACAACTTGGGGGGATTCGCAATGCGATTAGGGGGGTTGGAAGAGGGGTGTTGGAAACGACTCGAACGGGCGTGAGAAAGGCGGAGAAGCGCGGCGAGCAATAAACGAGTGAATGATGAGATGGGCAAGAAACGATAGAATCTCACAGCACTAGAGAGGAAGACGAAATGCAGCGCGAGCGTTGACGGAGACGGGATCCTCCAGCAACAGGATCGCCTGGGTGTCTTGCCAAGACCCAAGATGGATGCAGATGAAGCGCCGTGTATCGACAATACAAGGTATCAGAAACACCAGCACCAGCCGCCAGGGACAACAAGAGCCCAGGCCGTACGGGCGATGAAAGATAGATTACAGCCAGTCCGGGGGGCTAGCGTCATCCACGAAGAGTGTGGCAGTGCGTGATCTTGGTATGAAACAGGCCAGAACAAAGTGCAAAATCTGATAATGAACTCGGGCTGGGTACGACGACTCTCAGGGGATTATATCTATATAACTATATAGCAAACGAAACATCAAGGGACAACTTGCAATAAATGGCACAGACATCTCGATAACTATCACCTACCTCACCGCGTCAGAGATTACTGGAAATGGACAAACCTTGAGCAATAAACGACAATGACAAAGAGATCTAGTTCAGGAAGCTGGACTTTGCAATCCGGCAGACGAAGACTTGCTTTAGCTGGGCATGGACAGAATGATCTCCCCAGCGTCGTCACATCCCCTTGCAGTGCCCATATCAACATCTTGGCGGACGCGCAATGCCCCATTGGTCGCCAGAATCAGAACATGCAAGAAACCTTGGGTTGCGACAATCCTACTGCTCGAGGCCGGCAGGAGAAGACAATCAAAGGAAATCTCCGGATGAAGCTCTCCATCGGTTGTTGCATTGGTTATGTCTGCAATGCGATTTTTAACGTACTCGAGGAAATTCACTGTTTGTTGATCCAGGTTGCTTAAGAACCAATGAGGCTCCGCATGTTTTTCTCGGGCGGCTGCTGGGGAGCTCATCCCTATATTTTGCTCTCGAGTGATGTCGCCGACAACGCTCTCCATGTCTACCCCGGCGAAGCTATCCATACCCAGCTCCTCATCTTCCTGAAGAGAAAGACCTAGCAAAGCATTCCGCATCCCTCCACGGCCCGCAAGTGGACTTGCACTGGTTAGTCGACCTCTTCGACCAGCGAATGAACCGGAAATCAGGGCATCCGATCCTGGACGAAACGCAGAGTTGACGCCAGAATGTCCACCTGCGATGGATGAACCTCGAAAGGAACTGTGGACCGAAGCAGTGACATTCCATGGCATTTGCAAAGATGCATCATCTTGAAGCGAAGGGGGTGCATGTCGACCTATCTCAATGTCCTGCACTTATAAGTATTCTAATGGGGAGCGGATTAACGATGGTTGACAGAACTTTGAACTTACATCAAATGGCACAATTTCTCCGTTTTCACTGCCTGCCCAACGGCCCACTTCGCCATCTTTGGTCTTTTGGCGCACATTCCTCTCGAATTCATCAGTATCGCTCCCGTTGGCGGAACTCCGGTCGCGTTTACGGCGCAGACCCTGAATCTTCTTTCCCGTTAATGCACTTAAAAGCCTGGTCCCGGAGAAAATGTCGAGTGGATGGGGAACGGAGGAAGCGCCGAGACCTAGACCAACAGCAGCGATCCCTACTCCCAAGACGCAAAACGCGGCATTCCTTTTTGCTATTGTTACAAGCTTATTATTCTTTTTCATTTTGACAGCACATGCCATGTTGTGGGCATAATCAGAATTCCACTGGGCTAAGTCGGAGTTTCTAAGTTCTGGAAGGTCATCTGCCTCGATATTTCTAAGGCGCCGTTTCTTTAACGGCATATGTGCCTCACTTTGGCCGGGGGGGACGGCATCTATGTCATTAGGCTTGTCATCTACCTTGTGGCGCTGATTTGAAGGTGGCTCGCCCAAGGGAAGGTCCATGCCCACGTCGAACATAGGTAAATCCTCGAACTACTGGAACATCAGCGAACTCGCGCCAAAATTTGCTGTTGATTGTCTTACCTCATCTGCTCGATCCATATTTGTGAGGCGAGCTTGATTTGCACCAGTCATTTCAACGTCGTTATACTCTTCAGTTTCATGTATAACAATACGATCGGAGTTTCCTTTCAGTGGCAGCTCAATAATGTTGCCCTCAGCATCAAATTCAAAATCCGGTTGCAACAACACCCCGCCCTCTTCTAAATAGGCTGGGAGCTCCACCTGAGGCCCTTTTTGGGCACTGCTGATTTGACTCGGTAAGCCAAAGGCAGCAGTTCCCACTTGTGAAGAGGAGAGTTGCAATTGAATTTCTCTTTGAAAGCTTGATTTATTCGACCCATGTAAATAACTTGAAAGGAGGCTAGACATCTTCCGCGGAGTCTCTAGCACAGTTGTGATATCGAGGGCGGACAAGTCGACATTCAAACCGGGAAGCATAAGCCCAGGAACGAATGTTGGGTCTTCGGGCAGCACCAGCTGGTCGGGCCTATACCCTCAGTCCTTTATTAGCCTACGTTATGGTTGTTGTGAACTTGAGCTTTTACTACCTTGCTTTCCCTGCATCTGGATCCAAGTTGCCCCCGTGGACCACTTTCAACATTGTCATCATCCGGTCCCTGACAGCCTGTGCATCTGTGAGTATATATCCACATTGCTGGTTATAAACCTTTGAGACGCCATAACTACGTGTGCACGACAAGTCAGCATTCCACAAAACGACAGGTGAAATCAAGCAACAGGCGTGGTACAGCAAATTCCCCTGCAATCGCAAAGCCATAGGTGCCTCGGGGTGTATAATCATCCCGCACGCTTTCGATACGTCAACGTCCAGTATTGCTTTGCGGTTTACTTTTCTTGCTGTCGATTTAGATCCGAGGGTCGCAACGAGCCTATATTAACCAACTGTTCGGTTAACTAGGTGGTATAGAGTCTCGGAAACGTATCAAGTAAAACTAGTTAGGACGTACCAGATCGTAGCAACCCCATGCTCACGCGACGTGAGGACTATACTCGTTTGTCACTGATTAGGGCACAATCTCCTTTAATAATCGGGGTTATGTGCCGAACGAGGCCAACATACCTTCATGGCTATAAAACATCTTTCCCTTTACCCACTCTCAATACCTTGTAGATGCGTGTATAAATTCGATATTTGGCGATACTTGCTCTTGTCTATCGCATAGTTATATAGGACAACATGAAGACACCACACTTGGGTCAAATATTATAATGTCGCAACCGAAGACCGCTGGCAGATGCAAGATGTAGCTTGGATGAAGTGAGGCATTGCAACAGATTCCGCGAGAAAAAAGAGAGTCGACGAGCTGCCTGGTGGGGTGGAACGCGTATTCCCAAAATGGAAAGGGGACGGGTCAGGTGAGAGTCACGGGATGATAAGGAGGCCAGGGACTGCGAGGAGTAGGAGGCCGTACCTAAAAGGGTATAAGATGATATCGCATTCTACAGTGCTTCACCCGAGGCTGAGAGTACTCCATTGAGCGGACGACATGTAAACGTCTTGGTGCTATTCAACCCGGGTTCGCTATTGACTGTCTATACAGTTTCTTTTGCCGAAATTTTTGAATACGCCCCGTCTCGAGAAGGACTGCTTAAAAGCAAATCTAGATCGTAACCAGATATGGACCCCATAAAAAGCCAACTTGCAGAGGGTAAACCTCTAGCATACATATCAAAACAATAACACTCAGGGGGTATGTGCTCATCTACGCACAACGAAATAGAAAAAGACATCCGGAATCAAGGCCAACGGTAACATTCAAGACGAGAGGAAAAATAAAAATACTAGGATCTAATTTCAAATGCCTTAGATCAAATCATGAAAACATACAAGTACTAGGCCGCCGACTATTGTTCGTCAGGTATCCCTTCAAACTCCGAGTATCCAAGCGCAAGGTTCATGTTTTCTGATAACAAATGTTAATATATATGTCTCTGAGTTGGTATAGAATGATATGTGACTTACGAAGACACTGTGTTGCAGCACCCTTCAAGAGGTTGTCGATGGTGGCGCAAACCACAACTCGCTTGCCACTTGAATGAACGGCAAACCCGCCGATCTCAACGTGGTGATGGCCGGCAATATTTTTGACCAAAGGTGCTTCTCCAACTACCTTGACCAGCTTTTCTCCAGCGTAGCGATCTTGGTAGAGGTTGCGAATGTCACGAGAAGTCATAGATTGCTGCAATGGCATGCTGATGGTTTGCTATTGAACGTTGCAAGTTAGTACAAGGGTCAACAATATGGCTCAATACATGCCGGTGACGAAGAAGAGATATCAGCAATACATACGTGAATACCCTGGAACCAAACGGCCACGTGAGGAATGAAGGCAACATCGACACCAAGTTGCGAGCTAACTTCCTTCTCGTGAATGTGGTCTGTCAAACTGTACGGTATGATATTGTTCGTCAGGTTTGCAACATCGTTTTTGGGGCTGGGTTTCGTTCCGGCTCCGGAGTAGCCAGAAACGCCAAAGACAGTTGGCTGGCCAGCTAAAAATGGGGCCAATGGCGCGATACCCAGTTGAGCAGCAGTGGCATAACACCCTGGATTTGCAATCCTCTTAGCCTGTGCAATGGTCCCTCGATTAACTAGTTCTGGAAGCCCATATGTCCACTTGCTATCAAAACGGTAATCCGCGCTTAGGTCTACGACAACGGCCTTCTCCTTGTCGACCTCATTGATAGCATCAACATACGGTTTGCAGACAAGGTTGGGAAGTGCCATAACCCAGCAGTCAACGGAACCTTCGGCTGCCATACGTCGAACGTCATCGGGGCTGAGCTCTTCGTACGTAATAGAGCGCTTGTCGTAGCCTTGAAGCGGCTTACCCGCCAACTCACGTGAGGAAACATGTCGCAAGTCCAGGTACGGATGCGCATTGATAAGGCTAATGAGCGCCTGGCCGGTGTAGCCCCGAGCGCCAATAAGTGCTACCCTGGACGGCTGTGTGTTGGATGCATTCTTCTTACCAAGGGGAGGGTTCGGGTTGGTCGTAGTATATGCTCGAACGGATTGGGTGTTGACTCCCATTTGCCGGCCCAAATATGCGCGACGTGCATTTGAGCTTGTAGTTGAAAACGTCCGTTTTTGCTGACCAAAAGCTGAGTTCACGCCAGTTTTAGCGGAAGCCGGGATTTTCTGGGCCGTATTGGTATCTGCAAACATATCGCTTCCACGCTTGCTAAACTCTTGTACCAGCTCGCCAACTTCCTGTGGGCTGTTGACGCCGGACCAAAACAAGACTTCACCATCGCGGTTAAGGCTACCCTGAGATTTGTCAAAGAACCAAGTCAGATTCTCATCGTCCTCTTTAACTGTCCATACCAATTTGGGGAAATCCTTCTGGACGCTCGCAAAAACGTTGTCCGCGATGTTAGTGAGCCAACCGGCCTTCGTAATTGTAAGCGTGGCCAAGCGCGAGAAGGAAGATCCTTCCTTAGGAGGTAAGACGACTGCCAGAGCGTCCATGGGCTCGTCGAAATATGCTTTGAACTCGCCATCTCTTAGAGACTGAATGTACCTATCAACAACTGTCTGGGCATCTAGTCCCTCGCGATCTCGAACAAGCGCATTTCGAAGCGCATCGAGGTTCTCAAAGTCATCGATGGACGATTTGACGAGAAGCTTGTTACCCCTTCTAATTAACGTCCCGGCGCCCGTATCTGTAAACAATTCCTTTTGAAGGTCGGCAGGATGGATGATGGCAACACTTGATGTGCGCGGAAGATCATTGAGTAGCTCTTTCATCTCTTTGATCTTCAAGCGGGTGCCATGGCGAACCCACCACAATTTCATTAAATCGTCGTACTCCTCATCCAGGTTGATAGCAGAAATCTTTTCGCCGGTATCACCGTTGAAGAGCCCACCTTTTTCGGCCAGGTACACAATCTTCAATGGCTGGAGCGCCCTTGCCAGCTCACCGGCAGCAACATCGGCATTGACGTTTAGGACCTGGCCTTCCGGCGTCTCTGCCATTGACGTCAAAATGGGGAGACACCCAGCCTTGATAGCTGCTTCAATTGGCTTCTTGTTCACCCCATTGATCTTGCCAACCAGGTCATATTTCTCCTTATCCAGATAATCCGCCGAGAAAACACCCGTTGTCAGCGGTCGCGCTCTGACTCCCAGCCGCTCCAATTCCTCCACCAGCTTGAGATTCTCCTCCAGGAAGAGCGATCTGGCCAGCGCCAGAGTCTTGCCGTCCGTCACCCGAATTCCATCTTCGAACTGCGGCTCAACGCCTGCAGCCTCAAGCAGCTTGTTCAACTGCGGACCGGCGCCGTGCACGACGATAGGATAAAGACCGACATGGTTCAGGAATGCAAGGGCGGAGGATAGAGTTTGTAGATGCTCGGTTATAATCGCACCGCCGACCTTGATGACCGCAAATTGCTGGGAAGAGACGGAGGTGAAGTGAGACAAGTACTGTTGCACCTCCCGCTTCGAACCAATGTTGCTCAAAAGCTGGACGACGGTCGAACGCGTCGAGAGGTAGGGCTCGGACCGGGGAGAGTATTTGCGTCTCTGGGGTCCCAAACAGGGGACCGTTGCTGATAATCTGGCCAAACGAGTGGAAGCAACGCCGAGACGTGCAGCTCGGGCACCTCCCCGCACAAGGAGAGGAACTGGTAGCATTTTGTCAACCCGCATGCGGCAGCTTAGTCTGTTGAATAAATAAAGGCTGAAGCACGCATGCGAGGGTTGGATGGTTTGGGGGTTGAAGTTCAATGGGGAGTTGCTACCATTGAGTGCTTTAAGAAATTTCTGATCTCGCACCTGTGACTCAGGTGGTTAGAATGATAATGGCGAGCAACTCAAACTCTGGTACCGCGTCTCCAAAAATTATTTTGTGGCCTGATGAACCCAAAAGTCAAAAGGATATCAAATTTTTCCATTCAGATTTTATATTTTTTGGCTTTGGGCAAATGTGCGGCTACTTTCATGATGGATAAAGGCATAATAATAGGCGAATAAGTCATTAAAATAATCCCTATAACAAAACTAAACATCGCAATGCAGTTACAAGCACCCAGAGTATCATTTACAAGACCCATTCCCCCGAAGAGCTAGCAATCAAAAGGAAAAAAAGGATGAAGGGCCCAGGCAATTCGTGGCTCAGTTAGACAACCACAACACGGAGCCGGAAAGGAGTGCGCCAAACGAGAACAAACGGGAAACAGTAGAAGCAACCGAGCACAGCATGAAACTCGGTCAATCAACGTAGCCGAGAGCAGGCGTGCAAAGAGCACCAGCGCAAGATGCGGAAAGCGCAGGAGGAGGTATGGGTCGGAATTAGCAAAGTGAAAAGAGCTCATTTTCCTTTCGTTGCGAGCACTAGCATCCAAGTCAGCAAGGTCAACTTGGAACACAGCCCATGTAGTATATGGAAGCATACCGCTCGGAACGATAATGATTACAAGCAGAATGATGATGCCAACAATCAACCATATCCGCATCTTGAAGTCCTTCCACCACATCTGCTTGCGAACCCGATTAGCTCCCCGGCGAAATCCTTGAGCAGAAACAGCCAGGTTATCCGTTTTATCCTGAAGCGAATCCAAGCGTTCGCCGCGCTGCGAGACCTTGTTGATGTTCTCGCGCATCACCCCGACAGTATCGTCGATTTGCTAACAGAAATTAAAACCGTCAGTGCTAGGGCAAGCATCACAACTAATACAAGTGTCGAAGTCATATCCAGCTGAAATAGCTTTTGCTGCATTCATAAACCATCACGCCAGTATCTTTTAAAGCTACTCAGTCCTAGGCTGGGTTTGCGGATCCTTTCGAGTTGAGCAAGGCATTTGATCCAGGGCGTGAGGCCGTGCCATCTGCTCATGTGGAATACAGGGATCGTGCGACATACCGCTTGTAACGCAGCGGTTCTCTGATTCCCGCTGTTTCCTCCCCCATTTGGATTCGAATTGTTTGGGATATAGGGATCGTAGGGCTGGTCACGGTCGGCCATGGTGACGGATGTGGATATCGCGCGTAGACGCTGAGGCAGCAGGCAACGAGGGTGATGTCCTGGGAGAACAGCTAACGATCAAGAGGCTCTGGGATAGGGAGAACCGCCAAACGGACACACAGAGAGAGAGTAAGAGATACCGCAGTCGCCGACGAAAGAGAATACGCAGGATCGCAAGAGCGTTGAGACGATGAAAGGAGACCAAGCGAGAATTCACTTGGAGCGATACGTAACATTTCTGGAAGGGGCTTGGCATGCCTTGCCTCATCTATGTCACGTGCAACATCACCTTTGAAACCGTCGACCTCAAGCACCTCGCTCAACGTCCTCCAGAGCAACGTCCGTGAAACCCCCGTGGTCCCAGGCAGGCTCAGAGGGCTTGACTTCAAACGACAGGAATAAGATGCTCTTCTCTTCTCGGCAAACCTATTCTATTTCTAACCTTCCTAGGAACTGGCATGACTGTATAACTAAATCCTTCCTTGTCATGGAATCTGCCAACCTCCCAATCGTCAAGGAAGTTGATCAGGATCCAAGTCCATCTCTTTCGGTGGCCTTCAACTGACTTTACTTGGTCAGAATCAGTGGATCAAGGACGGCAGCCTACACCTAAAACCCAGCCAGGCCCAATTGGACATCTAGGTCGACGAGTCCTACTTCAAGGTATCAAATTACATATCGAAAATCCGGCCCATAATCTTCCTCCGCAATGATCTGGTGCGCATTCTCTTGATCTTCCTGGTTCTGACGCCTCTCGAGCTTTCCATATTGCTGGTCCAATTTACGATTCTGATTGACCAGGTATGTTCTCAAGCCTAGAGCAATGATGACATTAAACATCATGAACGCCGCACAAATTGCTTGACCCATCACATATCGAGGTCTATCTGAATCCGGAAACACATTTGTTCCCAAAAGTGTACCACACTGCCCAAGGATGTTCATGAACACGGTGACTGTGCCACGTCGGGTATCGGAGCCCTGATTATCTGGTCATGTCAGTTCAGTTAATCTTGGAAACACAAGGGAATTGATCGAACTTGGGGG